GACCCTGAGGTGCCCCCCGAACCCTGAGGTGCCCCCCTGGAACCCTGAGGTGCCCCCCGAACCCTGAGGTGCTCCCCGCGAGCACAACGAGTGATGAGTGACTTACTCAGACGGCGGAGGGGTGTGTGTCTCTTCCTTCTCGCAGCCTTTCAGGAGAAGAAAAGGCGTAAGGAGGTGATGTTTTCCGCTGTCTTTATCCGAAACGCCTCTTCCTCCGCTTTCCCGCAGAACGCACATTGTTGAACTCTTATCCAAGGAGTGGAGGAGCTAGGACGGAGTGCTATGGACGAGTATATTGGGCTGAGTGTACCAAGTTTTATCTCTGCTACGGCTTCCTCCCCACCTCGCTGCCTGGTTTGAGAATAAGGACGTGCAAAGAGCTAACACTGAAAGGCTGATACTCTGCAAAGACCTCAAAAGACACACACACACACATACAAAAACAAAACAAAACAAAAACAAAACCATCCCGCCAAAAATAATTACAAACTAGAGTGTGCAGGAAGAGAGATAAGGCAGAAGATAAGATTCTACACTGTTTTTATGAGAAATGTCCCTATTTCAGTGCTAATTTTTTCTGTGCTATCCTTCAAGGGGAGAATAATAGAAATTTTCAAGACACGAAACATTTTGTAGCTCTATTGCTGCAAGGTGAGTGTATTCTCTTCTAAATAAGCCATCATGCCATTAGTTGTGTTTTGCTTGTTGGCCAAATGTTGATATGTTGGAACTGTGGTTCCACCGGGGGTTTCTGACAGGCATTTATCTTGTTTGAGTACTGTTCCTAAGAAAATGAATGTTTTTCTGTGTTAATTCCATGGATGCTTTATCTGCTAAGTACTGTGCAATGATGCTCTATACTTGGAAATAAAGTTAGCTTGATAACAGCAGGAAAAAAATCATTCCCTCAGGAATCCTTTTATTTGCATATCACCGTTTTCACCTTCAGAAATTTGCTTGGTGACAGCTACCTTTTGGGTTTTTTACCCAGGACAACTGCTAATGCAAAAGCTCCAAATTTCTACAGGAGGGGACAGTTTAGAGGTAAAACAAGCAGGTCACACTTTAAGGGAGGGAGGGATTACACAGAGCTGGCTTTCTTACATATTTTCTTTGCAGAGGTGAAGTGAAGAAACTCTGGAGTGTCTCATCTCATTTGTTTTCCCTATTACAGAATGAAGCAATATGTCTACAACAATAATTAGACCTTTGGATAATGTAAATCAGCACAATTCCAGGAAAGTAAGCTAAGGATCTAACTATAACTGCTTTAAAAATGTGTAGAAGATACTTTGCAGTGCTTTGGTTTTATGACTTAGTACCTGATTTTAAAACCTTAAAGAAAGCAGATATCATAAAGATGATAATGATTTTATATGACAGTCTGGAAACTATTTAGCAGCCAACAAATAAAATGGTAAAGTAAAATGTCATCAGCTTTTTAATTTCTCAAACTGTCTTCATAGTGACAGTCTGGAAACTTCTTTCTTTGACTCAGTCTTTTACAGCAATATTTTCCATGAGTTTTTCTCACATTTATTTACTTTCATATTCTTTTTAAGTACTCTCAAGTTTTTGAACTTTAATCTGCATTGCGGAAAGTGCTGTGTTCAATTGGTCCTTTCAGCTAATGTCACAGCTAGATCTGTGATATGTGAACATATGTGAAAGGAGAATAAACTTCACACTTTTGAATTCTCAGACTAATACAATTCTAATGGAGAAGTCATAGTCTAGTAATAGATATGTAACTTGACTAAAAATAGCTACAGCTTAGATTTTAGTTTTGAAAATGTCATGATGAACACAAAATTTTGGAAAACAGATTTTTGAATAAAGCTCTGACAACCTGGCCAGTTGAGAATCAGTCAGAGAAGACCAGGTACTTCACACAGTTTTTCACATCTTCCTTTCCATCCAGCATAAACTATTCTGAGGTACTAACTGAAAAACTGAAATTATTTCCATCATAAATTGTAATACATCCAAATGGTTTTAACTAACATTTAAACCTGTTTGCTGCTAGGTAGCAATAGTCTTTCTTAAACTACATCTGTTATCTCAATGTAAAAGTTACATTAATTCTTAGCAGACATTAAGTCATATTCAATAATTTGTTAGCATTATCTTCCCCTGATGTCAAAAAAGCAGGTTACAAACTGATCATGAGTCTGTTAGAGCCTCATATATTTCTCAGAAATTTTAAAATAGAGAAGTTGGACACTTTCAAACTTTCCTCTGCATCACAGCATCACAGGATAATTCAGGTTTGAAGGGACCTCTGGGAGTCCTCAGGTCCAGCCCCTTCTCAGAGTGCACACAAATGAGACGTGAACACTTACAAGGATGGGGATTCCACAGCTTCTCTGGGTACATGTTCCAGCTTTGGAACATGCATATGGTGAAATTTCTTTCCTAATATGTAATATAAATTTCCTATGTTCTAGCCAGTGTCAGTTACTTTTTTGTCCCATCTCTGGCCTCATTTGAGAAGAATCTGGTAACATTCATTCTCTCTGTCTTTTCATCAGATTACTGTAGGTAGAAACAGGGCCTCTTGTCCTCTCCCTGTATGATCTGTGTTCTTGGTGGTCTTCCCTGGACTCCAATATGTCAGGACCTCACTTGTACTGGGGAGCCCAAAACTTGACATAGTGCCCCAGAGATTATCCCACAAATGCTGCATTCAGGGGAATAATCACTACATTCTCTTTAGTAAGGTGCAGAGTGCTCACTTTAGTCACAAGGAAACACTGCTGAATTGTGTTCACTTTAGTGTTATCCAGGACATCCAGTCTATTTCTGCAAAGCTATTTTGCATTAGGTTGACCTCCAGGCTGTGTTGCTGAATGGGTTTATTCTGTTCCAGATACAGCACTTTGCACATGCTTTGGATTGAGCTTTTTGCCTTTTCCATCCATCCATTCTTTCAGCCTGTTGCTGTAGAAAACAGCAACCCTGTGCTCCAGTAGGTAAACTATCCCTCCCCAGTTTGATATTCTGTCTGAAAATTCATTGGTTGTGCAGTCAGTCCCATTGACAACGTCTTCAATAAGGATATTAAACATTGCTGGTACCAAGATCACTCCCTGAGGGATGCCTCTAGTAATTAGCTGTGAGCTGAGGTTTGTGTGCTGGTCACAACGTGTTAGTCCCACACCACAGGGACTTCGGTCCCACTATTTTTCTGATCACTTTTGTAAATTTGTCTGTCTAGGAGAGATTGTGTCAAGGACCTTGCTCAATACAAGATATGCAGCATCCAGTGTCCTCCCACTCTCCAAAACACAGCTGGATATGCATGAATTGCATCTAAAACAACAGCTGTAGTTTTTCAACTCTTGTAAGAGTCAGGAACATACACTTGTACATTCAATTTAATATACTATCAATTTTACACATCATCTTCCAAACAGCCTTTGTCCAGTGCTGTAAGATATTAATGTTGCATATATGAGAAATGATAGCTTGCTACAAAAAATCATGAAATCTTCTAAAAACTTCCTTTAAGTGGTCAGGTTCTTGGGCTTCACAACCATGTGAGCTGTAGGAACATCAAATCTCAACCCTAAAGGATTCCTAGCTGGTCAGAATCTCTGAGTGCCTGTTCACCCACGAGAGGGCAGGATGACTCTGCTCTATTAAGAAGTGAAAGCAAATTTGCTCTCCATAGTCCCTTGAGGCACCAAAACCACAGAAGCACAGGGCAGAAACAAAGAAACATTAAAACTCTTTGAGGACAATATAATTCAGCAACAAAATTTCCTTGGTGCTCTTTAGTCTAAGCTTAAAGCATCCAAACTGAATCTTCAATAAGCTTTCTATGTTCATTCCTATATTATTTCTATGTTTATCTATTTCTATTTATTCTATTTATTTCTATGTTATTCTAACTCTATTTAAAACTTATCCTGTGATCTTGGAAGTGAATATTCTGTCTTGCTTGTAGCTTATGTGAAAAATCGTAGTTTATAGCAACAGGCTTTCCTGTTTTTACATATGCCTTAGTATGCTCTCTGTGGGAAGAAATGGTACTGTAGGAATAAACCAAGTCTCACACTGGCATGAATCCATTTTACAGGGCCTCTGCAGAGGCAGTAAGGTCTGTTCAGAGCTGTCTTTAGGACCAGGACCCAACACTGCACACAATCTAATGAGGTAATAGCAAAATGCAACATTTGATGCTTTATAGTTGTGGTGAAGTGAGCAATGAGTGAATGAACACTTGAAAATACCACTCATTGGTGAAAAATTGTCTGGTTTGCCATAGATCTTTTAATTGAATGCTGAGAAATATCTATACATACATTTTATGCACATTTTTTCTACTCCAAATAGCTATCTGTAAGTCTGAAGATCCATATTCAATAAAAACTTACATTAAAAGGAAAGAACTTGCCTGTTTGCATCCTGGAACAGTAAGTGTTCTGCATCCAATTTTCACTTTTTAAGTCCCTTCTGTAGCAAGTCTGAAGCTGAAAACTAAGCCTTCTCTGACAGTAAGAATTTTCTGGGTTTGAAAATCTAAAAAGATTAAAACTTGCCGGGATACCTGCACTAGAATACATCTTGTTCCTGTTCCCCTGAACTAGGAGGAGATTTGGCCCTGGCCTTTGCATCTAAGGTTATTTCCTATCAGAAAGTATAACTACATATGAGGCCAAAGCACAGAAAAAGGTAGATAATTCCTGTTATAAAAAAGCAGTCTATTTTTTCAGTAGCTTAAAGAAATGCTGTCAGTGTATCAAAAGAAGATCGTAAATTTTAATAAGTTATTTCTATCTGGAGATAATAATTACAGTAACACCATGATTACTGTACCTGAAAGATTTAAAATTTCCCCTTTGTGTGAGATTCATTTTAATAGATATATAAAATATTTTAAAGTGCATATAAAATATCTTTACATGTATTAGTGCATTTAAAAATGCATGTTTTGTATATATATATATATGTATGTATATATCAATTCATTTATTTCCTGTAACAATTCATGTTATATTTATATATAGATATAGACATGTAGATATATCAATGTATTTATTTCCCTTAACACTGCATTTTTTTACTGCTATATTCACATCATTCTCAAAAGACCCTTTAGTGAGGGTATTTTTATTTGTTTAGTATTTTTCCATACTAAGGGAAAATAAAATTTCATCTTGTCAGTATCACTATTAAATAAAAAAGGAATAAGTGTCAGAAAAAAAAGTTAACAAAAGCTTTCTTTTAAAATACTTTCTAGTTGCAAAATACACATTATACTTTCTAGTCAAATAATACAGAAGGCATTTATATGTTATCAACTGCTTTAGGAAGATGAAGTAAACCTGCAAGGCATTCAGTTAATCACAATCATAACTTTCTGTTATATATATTATATATAGATATAGATAAATATATAACTATGTATAGAAAGAGTACAGGTACGTTTCACTTTCTGTGGCATGCAAAATTCTCCACACAATCTAGAATTATTTCTTTACAGATCTCTCATACCTATAAAACATTCCTAGACCTCTTGCATCAATTTACCCCATCATTACTCAATCGAAGGACTAAAAAATGTTCAAAAAACAGAGCCAGACCTCCAGACTGTGCAGTCATGTACCTTCTGAAAGGAAAAACAGCTGTGGGCCTGTAGTGATACTGCAGCACTGTTTTCCAGGACTGTTCACCTGGTGTTAGCCGAGTGTGAGGGCCTGCGTGTCAGTGGCATATGGTACCTCACCTGCTTCCAGAACTTAGAATTGGGTGACTGTGGGTGCACCGTGTGCTCCTCTTTCCATTTGATGGTACCTTGATGCTTAATAATAAACCTAAGAGATTCCTGAAGATTCTCGTAAGTCCCAATTGTCTCCATTTCCAGAAGGATCACCTTGGTGTCATTTTGAATGAGGGCGTTGTATAAAGCAATGTGTTGATCATAAGCATCCTCTTTAGAATTAATCAGCTGGTGTGTTAGCAGGATGATCAGCCGTCTGCTCTTCTGCATCCTCTTCTCAATCGCACTGGCTGCATCTGGCAATGTACAAGAAAATTATGAGACACTGATATTTCTTTTAAAATTCTTTTGAGATTAGAAAGTCCATTTTTATTGCTTAGTAACCAGACCTAATTTCTATCTCACTTCAGTCTGATACATTTTATTTTTTATTCAAGAAAAGACTTTATCTCCTAAACCCTTCAGAAAGGCAAAAACAAAACAAAAACCAACCAAAGGGGATGGGGGAGGCGGAGAAAAAAGCAAAAAAGCCCAAAGCACAAAGCTTTCATTTCAAGTTATTTGGTATTTTTTGGTTGAAACATTATTATTTTCACTGCTTTTAAGTATTGTTAGGAATTTCTAGTCCAGTGACCTAGGGTCAAGTCCAGTAGATCTGATTGTATCAATATTGTGTTTGATCAACAGTCTCCATGTAAGGAATTGTGTTGTACCAAGTTTAATGCTTTAGAGATGATCTAGCAATACTTACCCATGGAAACTAGTCATTAGGAGACTTATGGGTGACTTGCGTCTAAGAGGCTTATTTCCAGGTGGGGTTAGCATTAACTACAGTTAATTGTCCTGTGTGCTAAATTATAGGCTAATCTGTGCATTGTGTTGGCCTTCACCCTGCAGGGGTAGATCCAGACTTTCAGGGCATCTGTGTGTCAGCACAACTGAAGGTGTTTGAATTTCCCGCTGCCATGTTGGGGAGAGCTGATCAATGCTGAAGTCACTGTGATGCTGGGCCAAAATAAAGGAAGTGGGAGCCCAGCTGGGGAAATTCAATGCACCAATTATTTAACAAACCAGCTGATTTGCAGATGCATCAGCCAGCTCCATATGTACCCTCTTTTCTTTTGCTGGGGGCTGCCAGTTAAGTGCAGCACACTTGCACACACTTGGGGGCACTACTGTAAGTGGTGTAAGTTTTTGCCATTGACAGTTTTGTGAGCTACTGTAGCTCCTTGTGCTGGATCTGGGCATGGTCTGGCTCAACAACTTTTGCAGCTTTTTTTTATCTTCATTTTTCCCAAGGCCAGGCAGCCCTTTCACAACTTTCCAGAAGAGAAGGGCATCAAAGATCTCAGCCTCAGCTCAGGGCAGATGAATGACACCTGGCCCAATGCAGATTATTTCAGAAATGTGAAACAGAAAATGCACCAGCTTAAGCTTCTGCTCACTGACAGAGGGAGAAGATCAGTCTACAGAAGAACCAGAGCACAAGGTAAAGTCAGCTCTGGAGGAGAGCAGTTAGCATCTAGGTGGAACCAACCATACACGATAGTGATGTGGAAATTAGCACAGATGAATTAGCAAGATTTCATCCTGAAGGACAAGAAAGCAGGAATAAAGCATATCAACTCTCCCCTGAACTAATGCTGGGAATTGTGTGAAGGGAAAACAGAACATGTCAGTGAGAAGAAGCTGAACTTCTCGCAACTCTAACACCATCATAAAAGGTTGAAAACTCCTGAGTGATAACAGCAAAGGCTTTTCCTTGGCTGAGTTTGTGGGTTTCTCCTCTTCCTTGTCTTGCAGTCAGCCAAGGCAGCTCATACACAGTTTGGTTGTGGCTTTGCCCAGATAATGGCTGTACAGAGTTAGAATTTCCAAAGAACATGTGTATGCTTAAAAGAGTCACACTCAGGCTCATGTTTCCAGTGTGTTCAAGATGATAAGAAGTCTATGCCCCTTCCTTGTAGCTTGCTTTTCCTAGCACAGAGGAAAGCACAGAGGGCCCTTGTGACACCTGGCCTGAAAGAACACACAGATGGCTGCTGAGGAGGTGAGCTGCAAGGTCAGGAATGTAGAGTGACCTTCTATACACCTAAAAGGGACTAGAATCACAATTTGCTCAAGCTTGACAGGTAATTCAGTGCATTATCAGATCTGAAACTTACCTTCCCCAGGATATATATCTCTCCCATAAATACACAATTTATATCCACATTTATTTTCTAGAATATCTGGCATGATTTGGTAAACAAAATATTCCACAAAATTAGCTTCACTGGTGTGGGTTTTGGGGTAGACTACATATGCATCGTATATCTTCCCATCTATAAGGCAAAACAAGAGGAAGGAGTATTGTGTTAACATGAATTAGAGCTGTCTTTTGCCAAAAGTAGGAGAGAAATAAAAATATCAGTCACTGAAATAGATCTAAGAAGCTCTGGCCAATCTGAATAATGTATATCATCTCATGCATGTTTGGAATATAATGACTATTTGATGTTTTCCATGCTCGATTTTTTTGTCCTGTGTGTTTGTAGCTTTGGAGAACCTGTCCTTTGTATTGTGAAGGCTGTATTCCAAAGTATATGCTGTAAGAGTTGAATTGATTGATGCATATCAGCATGATACAGCGATGAAACTCAGCATATGTTATTTCAGTGACAAAATTCGGTATTAACAGGCTTTGTCTCTCAGCACAAGATATTCCATTCAAATTCTTCCATCATGAAGATTTTATTCATCATCCCACAGCATATGATACTCCTGAGTGGAAAATCCCATTTCTTAGGAAACAGTCTTACAATCAGAACCAAGTACAAAGTATTTATTTCATTCCTTGCTTCATGTCCCTAAATTAAGTTTTCCATTACAGCGTTTTTATTCTAATCACGAATGCTTCTTTCTTTCTCTCTGGTGGAAATGGCCACATCCTTTCTTTCATTGCCAAGGTTCTTGCTCAAACCAATCTAATAGATCCTATGAGGAACAGCTGAGAGAGCCAGGGTTATCTAGTCTGGAGAAGAGAAGGCTCAGGTTTGACCCTATTTCTCTCCATAATGACCCAAAAGGAGGTAGTAGCCAGGTGGAGATCAGCTTCTCCTCCCAGACAACCAGGAATGGGAAAAGAGGCACAGTGCTAAACTGGACCAGGGGAGGTTTAGGTTGGACATTAGGAAGAATTTCTTCATAGAAAAGATGATTAGGCATTGGAATGGGCTGCCCAGGGTGGTGTTGGAGTCACATCACTGGAGGTATTTAAGGAAAGGCTGGAAGTGGCACTGAATGCCATAGTCTAGCTGACATGGTGGTTTTTGGCCATAGACCAGACTTGATGATCACAGAGATCCTCATTGATTCTGTGAATCTGTTTATTTTGTGAATCTGTAATAATAATAATAATACAATGTCCATTTCCAGAGTCTGATTAATTTCATCATGAAATAAACTTACGTGGAAACTGTCCTAAAAAAGCATACTTCTTTCCTCTTTAATGAGAAGATAAGTAACTAGATTGGCTGTAGATATCTACCATGCAGACATTGTGGTGTGAGTCAGCTTCAGATTAAAAAATTTAAAAATTGTCCTTTTAGCTGGATTTGGTCTCTTAAAAACATGTACCTCATCATGTCATTAGGCACTGCCTGCCTTTCAGCTGCCCCCTGCAGGGAGGTTCAGGTCTCACTTAAGCCCTAAGGCAGCCCCAGCAGCACCAGCTGCTTACAGTAAATTAGACAGCTAGACACAGCCACAGACCTCCAGGTTTCATGTCTAAGATGGAAACTTGCACGTGTGCACTTTCATTTCATACTAACTAAATGCAGATGTCTGAATCTTGAGCTGAAAGCAACCAATGAACTTAGATGGGATATCTTCCTCCAGAAATGTCTTCCACACTACTGGTATCTTTTTGGCCTACAAAAACTGTGTTGCTCAAACATATGCTTTTAACATGTTAGTCATCAGGTTTGTTCCTTTGCATTAGAGAGCACATAACAAGTACAGTTAACAGCACTGTAAATCAGATTTTCAAAGTCATTCAGTATCTTATGGCAAATACTTTCATTTAGAAAAACTACAAAACCAGGATTGAATCTCTCTTTTATGTAATTCAGTGCTACAAAACTGAGGAAACAAGGGAATATAAAGCACTTACAGAGCTGTGTATGACTTCTCTTTACTAAAGGTGCAAGAGAAAAGAATCTCAGGTGTCATGAGTTAGCAACGATCAAATAAATTACTTTCTCTATGATTTGTCATTTTCCCTTTTTTTAAACTTTCTTTCTCAAATCTTACTTACCATCCTTGACTGAGTAGGGCTGGAATATCTCCCGATACAAGAGGACGATATCAACTCGGAAAGACTGGTAAAGGATAACTGAGATTGCTATTGCACTTAGCAGAACCAGAGATCCTGTGATCAGGAGGACATTAGGAAGAACCTCTGCAAAGTAGAGGAATATATTGTTAGCCACAGAGAAGTAAGTTAACCCGTGTGCTGAAGCTTTAGTCTCATATCCTTACTTCTGTTACAGTTTTCAGGAGCTCAAAACAGAGATGACAAAGCTTTTTCCTTCCCCAACTGGCACAGCCAACACATAGACAGAGCCCTGAACTAGAAGCATATTATGCAGTATATAATTAATATTAATTTTGTTAATCCAGACCTACTTATGCTAAAAAACACAACTGAAAATTATGTTTAAGGATTTTGTAAATTTTAAAAACTGATTTGAATACAAACATACAAAACACAAAAAAAGAAGTGTGCACATCTTTATTACACATCTACAAGATGAGAGGCACAACCAAATCTATAGCATTTCTATTATTCTGAGAAACAAGCAGCATCGCTTTAGCATAAATATTGCTGAGCTTTTTAAGGACTGAGTAAAGAAAACTAAAGCAGAGCACAGCCACTTCTGGACACAGCATTGCTGACACCAACAGTGCTGAGGAGCAGAAGAAGACACTTTGTCAACAGCAGCAACAAGGACAAGGGCACAGATATCCATACAAAAGAGGCAGCAGTGAAAGCAAGGTCACAGTCAAGAGCTTTTATAAACATTTACTGAAGACCTATGAATAAAAAACAAAATAAGATTTGTCTATAACCCAATTAGATTCACTGATTCATGGGATGAATACATAATGTGCTCTCCTTCATCTAGTCTGTAACAGGGGGCCAGCAAGGGAGTTGTATTGATAAACCAGTGAGCAGCAGCTGTTACTCAGTTCCCTTCCCTCTCATTGCAAGTTCACTCCCACACTCAGGTACTTCAGTGCAGAGCTGGTGTGCTTCCAGCTTCCTCAGCAATGCTGCACTCAAACTCACCTATCCAACCAAAACATCTCCTGCCACCTTCCTGCTGGGTTCTATTCTGCTCTTACAATTCACCTGCATCCCTTCTAGTCTAGGCTACAGCAAGGAAATTTGTCTAGGCTTTGAAGCCATGATCCTCTAGAAAGTCATGAGCAGTCAAGAATACAGCAGGACATGGGTCTGTGCACACCCTGTGATCACAGTACACTTGATTTTACTCTACCTACGACTCTCTTTTAGAAAACCAGTCTCTGTTAAAGATCTTGACATTTACTTTCAAAGTCCCCGAGAAAAGAGTAGTTTTAGATTACACATTAGGAAGAAATTCTTTCCTGTGAGGGTGGCGAGGCACTGGAACAGGTTGCCCAGATAAATTGTGGATGCCCCATCCCTGGAAGAGGCCAGGTTGGATGGAGCTCTGAGCAACCTGGTCTAGTGAAAGGTGTCACTGCCTTTGGCAGGGGGTTTGAAACTAAATGACCTTTAAGGTCCCTTCCAAACCAAACCATTCAATGATTCCATGATTCTTGATGGTTCAGCATATCTGAAGGGATGAAAAAGATTGATCACAGCTGTTTCTTGAGCCTTCACAGACAAAATAGCATTTTCTGCAATAGGAATCTGATTCAGATGTGTTGGCAAGAGTGCTTAGGGATCTGGCTATCCCGATTACAAAACACTCCTGTATGAGCTAAGGATTATCCCTGTCCCCACCATTTACTGCCCTGGATTTTCCTTCTCTTTCAGGTACTACTAGAATTTAAAAACAAAACCAAGGGAAAGCCTTCGAAGTGCTACTCACACCTCTGTGTGGCACAGAGGGAACACAGTGGCACTCAGAGAAGATAAGGAGTGATTTTGAGGAGGTGATTCATACAACATTCAGTCCAAAAAAGGGCACTACAGTGAAGCAATATAGGAAGGAATGAATAAACAGCTGAATAAATAATAAACAAACTGGCAAACCAGGAGCTGAAACCCTTGTTTTTAAATTTTGCCTATTTTCTGCCACAATTTTACACTAGAAACAGTAGTTCTATTTGTCACAGTGGAGAATTATCCTAGGAACAGGATAATCTTATCACAGGGCTGATACAGTCACGCTCTGCATATTTCATCTCTCGCTGATACTGTTTGAATAATGGCCCACTCTCTCCCCAACCCCAAGGACTCAGCCACAAGAATTTTGCAACTGGTTTGAACATGTAGGGAAGAAGAAAGCTGGTTTTGCTTCTTATTAACTGAAACTTTTTTACTATCTGAAACAAATAATAAAATAAACTCACCAACATATTTCAAATTAATTGCAAAGTGTAAAGAATCAAAACAAAAAAATTCTACCCTCAGGTTGCTCTTTGAGTTGTAATGTCACCGTGACTCTTGTGTTGTACATTGTGTTCAGTGCAATGCATGTGAAATTCGACTGCAGATCCTCCTTTTTTACTTCAGTAATATTCAAAGTGGTCTCCTCATAGTATACTTGCTCATGTCCATCAAAACTAATAGAAAAAGAAAGAGCTGGTAACATTGGTTTCAATGGTTAGGCACAGTTTGCATAGAAGAAAGATTATTCTGTGTTAAATGCACTTACAAATGAGTTTCTTCATGAAATCTTGAAAAATCAAGGTTTTCCACTGGGATGTTATCCACATCCCATCTGACAGCAGACAGTGGCTGTTTCTTAATCCCCAGGCGGGCCTGACATTTCAGAGACAAAGCAGCACCTAATGAAGATAGAGAGATGTAAACATTCCTTAATGAAAAGCTTAATTTTATTTTCCTCATAACATTTTTTTCTACAAATCTTCATACAGCTTGAGAGTTTTGTCATAACAATTTTGATATTTTTCTGAACTGCTGACAAAATGATACATAGAAAAGACAAAAGAAATAGTAAAATTAACTTTTCAACAAATGGGCTAATAACACACCAAGGATTACAAGAATTATTTATTCTTTATTCTATTATTATTTATTATATATTTATATAAATATAAATTATTCTTTATATTTATTATTATGAAGGCAATCTACCCTTTACTTGTGATGCTTGACACATGTAATCAGCTAGTGAGGAACATAGAACAGATAATGGTGGTTGACACACAAATTTACTCAGAAATAACCTAATTAAATTTCAGTATATATTATTTTGCATAAGACTTGTGTGTGCCTTATTTTGGATTTTATTTAAGCTGGACCAAAGTAAAGTAAACCAGTCCAAGCAAAACTAATCCAGGAAATTACTTACTAAATATTTCCCATTAGGAAATATTTATTCCAAAGTAAGGGTCACCATTGCACCAAAAGAAAGTGTAATTAAAACATGTTAAATTGTTTGCATGTAAGTCCGTATCTAAGCAGGTCTTAGATAAGTTATCAAATCTTATGGTTCAGTCATGAATTGGTATTAGGGAGCATGGAAAAATCCCTTCATCTTTGCGAACTGGAGACAATAGAACCAGCACATCAATTGGGTTTTCAATGAAGAATGAATTTGTTCCATGCAAGCAGTGCCAGAACAATAGGCAGAGCCCACAGAGCACTAGGCACTGACCATTTACTAGAGAAAGCTTGTCCTTGAGCAGAGACAATCTAATTTCTGAGCAACAAAGCAAATGGGAGAAAGAGGAAAAAAGAATGGGAATGTGAGTCAACTGATAAGTCTCTGAGCCCCAGCATGTAGCACAGAGAGGGCTGTGGGCCCCTGCAGTATCTGCTACCAGAGCAGCCTTGCTGTAGGACAGAGGAAGAAGAATGGTAGTTACAATCCCTTCTCCCACTGGCCCAGCTTCACCCCACTTGCTCTGGCAGAGAGACATCCTGGATTACCTATTTAGATTTCAGATGGGTTTAGTCTCTTGCTGGAGCACTCCACCTTTCTCCACTGACTACAGAAAAACACCAGACAGCTCTCACTCCTACCAGAAACACCTTGCACTTGATGGTGCAAGTTACCCAGAATGAATCTGAATCCCTGAGAACATCTATAGCCCTGAACAGAGGGGAGCCAGGAGAAAGCTCTACATCATGGGCTGTCCGACCAGCTCTGTCTAAATTCACTGCCTGGTCCTGTCCCTCCCAGAACCTTCCAAGAGACTGGTCTGATCACTGCTAGCCAGCATGGATATGAGACAGGCAGTGCTCCTCAGCCTCAGGGCCAGCAACCAGTTCCTTGCTCTCCTTCATTTCCCAACAGAGACCCAGGCCACTGTCTCCACATGGGCACTGAAGGCAGCAAGGAGTAGCTCTGGTCACAAGAATAGTCCATCCTTCCCTCTTAGGGGTACCATCAAGCAGTTTCAAGGGATTTAGCCACAGCCCTGTTTGAAGTGTATGGAAGATGTCACCTTTCAGTTGAGATGTAATTATTCACTCTGTGAATTATCCTGGTTTATCTTGGTGAAAGTAGAACAAGTTATTTCAATCTTCTTAAACTTCACTTAATGCCTAAATAACCCATCAGTTATATCTAACTTCACATCCCTGGGCCTGGAGGCAAATCTGGTAAATGTTATGGTGCAAAACTGTGATGAAAAGTCCCATCATTACACCTTCTTGAAGATATTCATGTCTGCTAGAACATTACAAAATGCTAATTTAACAACAAATTAAAATTTGTACTCACCAAGTTCTGCTTCTACTACATCTTTATTCTTTGGAAATATGATTTGAGGTGGTAGAAGTGAGTATTTCACTTTAGGAATTAAGGAGAAAAAGAAAGCATGCATTAGCAAGCTGTGAAAACGCATTTTTTGTAAGATAATGTTTGTAATCTGTACAATATTTTATGATCACCAAACAGAATTGCAAACTAACAGTGTTTCACATACCTATTGGGATCATCTGGTTTTAGTCCACCAACCAAATATCTCTGGGGAGTATGTACATGTTAATATTTTCAGTATTTTCTCCCCATCTATTTAATTTTACCTTTGTACATAGAAAGTAAGGAAAAAAAATAGTTTTGAAGTATAGTTTTAGCTGTTGACGGGGGGAAAAAAGAAAATACTGTTATTGGCTTGTGTGTTTTCTCAGCTGTTTTGGGTTTTTTTTTAAGAGGCACTTGAGAAATTACATCTATTATATCAAATAGATAATATGTACTTTTATGCAGTATCTGAACTACAAACGAATATATTGCTTTTTGACTCTTTCCTCATTAAGCTTTCCCATCTCACAGCACCTCTGTAAAACCTGTATTTCCCAAAAAAATCTGTAGGAACACATTTCAGTCCCTGCTTCCCAGACTGACTGAATATGATAAAATAGAAGTCAGGAGAGAGCCAGTAACTTCCCAGCTATCTGACAATATTGAGTTCTCAACTGCCAGCATTCAGAAATAGAAAGTCCTCTGGATTAGCATGAATCTGCAAGGCAACAGGAATGTATATCATAATTCTCTAATATTAACAAAATAGAACAGCTCCACTCATGAGCATACTAATTTTAAGGTCTGACAAAAACTCAAAGAAGTTGTCATTAAGTACTTTGAATTTGGCAAAACCTGGAGCAGATGTGCCAGACCCCACCCAGATTTCACATGTGTTGCAATCTCTTCTTTCTGCAAGGATTTCAAAAGAAAATTAGATGAACTTCAGGATCTGCCTGGATGTAAAAAAGATTTTTTTGTAAATTTTGTAAATTGGAATGCCTTTACGTCAAATAAAACCCAGAAATTTCTTTTGTAATCCTCCAGGAAGAACAGTAGTCCAGAACAGTTAGAGAAGTTTTGATGAAGTACATTCAAACAAAAATTGTTAGGCAGAGAAGTATCATGTAAAGCATAATTGTAATCATGTAGAGCAACAGGTAGAAAAGGAAGAAAGGCACAACATTTCCCAGCTAGTGAACTAGGTCTTTGCTCAAATCTGTCTTCTGTCCAGCTCAGAATAACCAGAGCTAGCTCTGCTACTGAGATCTGGGCACAGCAGCAAAAACTGCATCCAAGGCTCCCACACTCCAAGAGTGCATTCTGCCCACAAGCTGTGTGCCTCTCCAGAGCAAAAAGGCCTGCTTTTCAGTCTGCAAATGGACATTACTTCAAACAAACAAATAACTAAACAACAACGAAACAACCACGTGAACCAAACTCAAGATCTCCACCACCCCCCAAGAAAAGGTCTTTCTGACTATTTTTCTACTGATCTGATTGCAGAACTGAAGATACATTTTGAAGTTTTGCAAGTTGATACAATCTGAAACTGCAAATTTCTGTATGCCCTTTCCTGAGCACCATCCAAATACAAAACCTCCCTGAGGAAACTGCATCCTAGCGGCACTCCAAATTCCACAAACCTCAGTCATATTGGCTATGTTCAAAATCACAGAGATATAGTAACCACTGAGATCCATCCATTTTCTATTTCTACATTTATCTTGTTCATTTTGTCTTATTCAAGACAAATTTAAAAGTTTTTCCAGTCCTACTATCAAATAAATGTTAAATGGTTGAGACGGACCAAGAGGCATTAAGCTGTAGGCCATCAAGACATGACAGATCTAGTGATCACCAGACAATCCTCTCTAGCCACGAAATCTGCTGCCCTCAAAAAGTAGAAAGCAGAGCATTGTGGCATCCCACTGAGGAGATCCTTCATTTCAGAAATGCGCTACCAGAGAACTCAACCAACCACAGCACTTAACCAGAGTCATCAGAATCTTTTAAACAGAAAACTGAATGAGACCAGACCCCATCTTGGTCAAATCATATTGGTCTTGATTGCCCTCCACAAAATTAATCTAATAAAGCTAATCTAAATCTTAAAAAAGTTGATAAAACAAACCATCCAAAACTCTTTTAATGTACAAAAGGAGTTCCTTTTGCTCTTAGTTGATATTAGTCTTTTTATCTTAGCAAGCTAAAGAATTACTGTCTTACCCTCACTGATGAAAATTCTTGTTGCTGATACATTAAACACATTTCCTTTATGGGTATAAATAAATTTACAAGTATAATAACCATTATCCTCTGTTCTTGGATTCTCAATAAAGAGATAATTTTCTTTCGTGAAGTATCTCTGTCCCTGAAGAGGTTTGCAGTCCTGGAAAAGAAAAATGTGTTTGGTTTCAAAGAGCTTTTCAGTATTCTGACCTACACTGGCACTATCAGGGTTTTATTTACCTTATACCACTGGACAATAGTAGCATTCTTATAGTTATCAATGGTAGGACAAGCAATTTTTCCTCTTCGAGTGTCATTTGCGTAATGAATCCGACTTGGGAAGCATTCTCCTGGCTTGTATGAGTGCACTTGCACACTCATGTTGTATGACTTTGTGCGATTACTTGAAAAATGGAATAAGGTATGTCAGTAATTGTATTTTTATATGGAATATATTAATGTTTATAACAAATGTGTGTCATACTATAAACGTGGATGATTACTATATTTCAGTCACAGCTGGATTTCAATGACCTGCCATGAAAATAGCAGTTGCAGGGTGAAAACTTACAAAGAAAGTAATCATTTTCACAAATTATAATTAGAATATATCATCAAAATATATATTCTTGCCAGTCTTACACCTTCCACTTTCCATGTGGCACTTACAAATGTGTTACACAAGTGTAGTTTCCAGAATCCTCTCTAGAAATTGGCAGAAACCAAAGATAATGTTCTACGGAAAATACTCGTGATCCCTCTTCTTCCGCAGGAATTATTTGGTGAGTATCCATGCGATACCAAGTGATTTTCACAGATGAATTCCATTTGGGACATTTTATAACTAAAGCCTCACCTTCCATAGGATCAACTGCAAATGAACAAAAGATTAAAATCTCAGATAAATTAAACCTTTGTCCACTGAGACAGAGATTTTGGTATTCCTGGATCAGTATGCCAGTCATGTCCCTCTACCCTCCTTGAGCCCTCCTTTTGAGAGATGATACATAGCAGGCTTATTTTCACTAAATTGTCTTTCAATAAAAACTTTGTTTACCTTGAGTTATGGAATCATTTGTTTCCAAAAACATTAACTAACATGCAGGGCACAAATAAACAAATCCCTAGGTTCTAAGCAGAGACACAGTAAAAAATAGGAGGACTTAATTGAAAAACAGTTTTTTCTTACAGTGAGCTTATTATGTAAATATTTTCCTAAAATATTGTTTTTATTCAAAACAAATTAAAACACAAAGAAAAAATATTTGCTTTAATGTAGTTATCTTTCCTTACATCAGTATAATGAATATTTATTTATGCAACAGATGAGTGCTTCTTTTTCTGCCTCTTTAACACAGAGAAATGAAATTGATTTATTTTTTTTCCTGGAAGAAAATAATCACAGATGAAGGAAGTCTGTAGATTAGATCCTTAGGAAAAATAAAATAAAATGAAAACACAAAAAAACAGCTTCTCTCTGAAGTTCATGAAAATGGTGTGGGGAAAAAATGAAAGCAATGTGATACCCTGAAAGGAAGAATCTGATGAGAAGGTGGGAAGGTGAAAAGGTACCAGAAATATTTGAGACAAATAAGAAGCTTAGAAAAATAAACCACATGTGGTCACACATAAAAAACTTGGGAGTAAGACACTAAATTTTCAATTTTTTTTTTTTTTAAGTGAGTATAATTCTACTTTTGAATACTGAAATTGGTCCAGAGAAAATAGAATCAAGCAATTTTGACAAATACTTAAGTGCTCAGGTACCTGAATAGTGTACTGGCCACTGAAAACAAACATTAATCTGAAAGTTAAATTGCATTCTGAGAAGAAAAAGATTGGAGTATGAGAAAGAATGATAACAAGAAAAAGATTGAGATTGGCAGAGGAACTGCAGCAGATAAGGGAACATGAAAATGAGAGTAGATAACCAAACAGCTAACCAAATGTCATGGTGTAGCTTTACCTTTAAGACAGCTTAGAAAGAGAGGAAGTTAGAGCTGCTAGTGGCTGATGGGAGTTTTTCCTCCTGACCAATTATCAGTCATTTCCAAGAATTGACAGCAGATCTGACCATTAAAAAGTGAATTCAACTTGTAAACACCCCCTTAAGAAGTACAGACAGAGTTCTCTTGCCCTCTTTGGTTTCCGGCTTTTGACAAGGTAGCAAGCTCTGTCCTGGCCTCCTTCCCCCCCTCCAGGCCGACAAGGCCGCAGGGAGGGGGGGAGAAGAAGCAGAGTCGGTCAGCCGAGCTTGGTTTTCAGTTTCTGCTGCAGGACTGAAACCTGACACTATGAACTCTTGCAGCTTTCTAAAGCTTTTGATTCTTTTACTACTTGGATAAATGAACAGATTACTCCTTTTTCTCAGAAAAGACAGAGAACGAGAGAGACAATCAACATGCAAAAAACATCAAACCACTAAAAACAGTGAGAGAAAGAGTTAAGTTTAAGTAAAAAGGAGAGAATAAGGAGATGCGTACAGCTGAAATATCTTTTTGTAAAAGCTATGGAGATGGGTAATAGTAGTTTAAAAGACTCCTTTAATTCATGACTAGAGTATGGGAGGAATAGAGTATTCAAAGTGTGGACTTTTTAAAAAAAGAGAGAGTGATTGTGATACTGTGAGTTGCTGGAGATGGATAGAGTGAAGATTTTTTGAAGCCTTGAAGAGCAAAGCAAAAGCTGTTTTCCAGGAAGGCTCACAGAGACAGATGAAGAAGACTTCTGCCTTTGAATAACTCATCCTTAAAATAGTATCCCTAGACTCATTTGACCCATGCACACCTCAGAATAATGTGGAATGGGAGGAGTGAACTCTAAAAACTCCATAGATCGACAAAAAGAGACTTCTGTTTCTCTACAAAGAATGAAAGAAAGACTATAGCAAAAATTGAGACTGTTTTTGACCACCAAAGTTCTAAAGTTTTTTTGTCTCTATGTTATCATGTGTACAAAAAAATAGTTAAGTGGTGAGAGATAAAAGAGTTTTCTGGAAGTTTATTCTAGTGTTCTTATTCTTGTAGTTTGTTAATAAACTGTTTCTATTCCTTTTAAGTTTTAAGCCTGTTTTGCTCTTGTTCAAATCCATATCTCACAGAAAGAAATAGTAATTTTTTAGTTACTGGTTTTAAACCACAACACCAAAACAGACAGTGTCTATCAAAAATGACATTTTACAGTGGTGGCTTTAGACATGTAGGTGCACAAATCAGGAGGTAAGAGTCTCTACGTGATGAACACCTGCTCTGGGTCTTTCTAAAGGAGTGGTCTGTCTCCATTGATATTGTCATTTCACTTAATAATTTGGGTCTCCTAAATTAGCCAGGTATAAGTAACCCCAATGCCATCATTTTAAGTTTTCCCACCCACAAGCATTGCAAAGACACTGGGACATATCAGGGGGGACAGAAAAGGCAGCATTGCCCTGCCAAAGGTGGAACACATTTTAAATACAAAGATTTCTTTGAGGAAAAATAGTGTGGAGAGGGAAGACAAGAAAGAAAGGCCCCATGTAAACTCAATGACATCCATTAAAATCATCTTGGCAAATTCTTCAGCAGAATTTGGCATCTTAATAAATTAAATTTGCTTGAGTCTTAGCATTCCTATTGTAAAATTGACAATATGGACAAATATTTAGAGGTCATATTTTACATAATTTTTCAGCCAAATGAGTATGTCAGCTAGAGAATAGAAGTACAAGAGTGCTGTGTGACACTGTGTCACTGGTCAGGAGTATATAGCTGAGTCAGTAACACTGGCCCATCAGAAAGAGTTTACTGTTCTGGACATTCCCCCTGTGCAGGGAAATATTACTGTTACACTGCATTTTTCAATTAACACCCCCAAATTCGGGACATTGAAGAGCTTTTCTATGGAGCACCGATTTACACCCTTGACTCAGCAGGGTGCATATGCATGTGCGCTGCTCAGTGCAATTAAAGCATGCTCTTGGAGTTTGTGCCCAGCTGGGACATGCCACCAGCTACTCTCAAATTCTTTCAAGAAGACCCTTTTCTTTCTGCTTGCAGAGGTGACAAGTGGCAGAAGTTGAACCTAGACTTGCTGTCGTAGAAATGGACAGTGTTTGATGAATTTTAATATACATTAAAAGCTTGATTTTAAGTTGTGATTTCTGGCTTGAGGTGAACTCACTAACTTTAGGATTAAAAATAAAACCACCAATTTGGAAACAGCCTACACATTTCTACAGAACAAACCTTATCAGAAACTATTTTTAAAATGTGACTTACATATTTCAGATGTCATGGAAACCGAGAGGAAGGTAGATAGGAGTATCAAATCTATATTCCCCATCATATTTCTAAACTAGGAAGAAAAACATTGGTATCTTAGAATATACTCTGCATTAGTAATGCTGTATCGATGTACATCAGAAAATTGAATGGAAAAGCATATGCACTACTAAACTTCATCATGTGAGCTGCTCTGTACAGTAAGCATGTGTGAGTGCACATAGCAGTGGGTTTGCAGCTTTGACGTGATGTTATTTGTTCTATCATCACTGAAACTACAGTTATAACAGTTTAGTGGGAGTCAGGGAATTACTCTGCCATGGTGCACCTCAGGCAGAAGCCTCTTTTAATTTGCTTGCGCTTTTTTCTTAAGGGAGATAAATGTACTTTGGCATTATCTTCAAGGTCAAGTGAAGACAAATTGTACCTCAGCTCAGAAAGGGACAGATCCTGGATTTAAAAATGTAAACCCTGGTTTTGAATTAAGGTTACATCCTTACATACAATCAATTGCTTAGGTGCACAATACTTTTTTTGTCTTTTTATGAAATGGGAGTTATCTTCAGTGACAGCTTATCTAGGTGAATGTTTAGCAGTGAGATCAAAACCAGGTGAGTGTCATAAACAATGCTAAGCTGAAGGGGAACTGACAAAATGGTCTGGAAAGGTAGGTAAAGGAGCATATACTTAGCTAACAGCAGCAGGGCAGATCCTGAATCTCACTGATGTTTCCATTTGTGTCCAAATGATATGCACCAGCAGTAATTCACACCTCGTGGTGTGGCTCGAGAGCTCTCCAGCAAACCCCTTTATTTAAAAAAACTGACCATTTGATCGTGGGCATTAAATTGACCTAATCCAGGAATATCTCAGGAGACAGCAGGCATGCAATCCAGCTATACTGCATAGCTGTAAGCATTCTACTTACCATTAAAAAGCCTTGAATTCAGTTCTTCACAGCAGATCACAGAGCAGTGGGTTCTATTGTGGTGTATGAGTAAGCAGCAGTCACAGGGTCCTACAGGCACTAGACAAGTTGTTTTCAAGAGAAATCAGGTTAGAAAGGAAATATCATTTAACTTGCAGATAGTGAGCACAAGGGGAGTAGTGAAAAACAGGCAAGAAATGTAAGTACTGTCGTCACACTTACTGCAAGGAATTTTTATTTCAGTGCCAAAAACTTCCAGACTAAATAAACATTGACAAGACTTATCAAGTACTATGTTTTTGCCAAGTCTGCAATTCAGAGCAAACTCAGTTCTGAACTTTTAGAAATATCATCAGCTTTGTATTGATACGGAAAGTTTCTTCTTTCAGAAGGTTTAATAATATCCAGAGGGTTATTCTTAAACTCTGAAAAAACAATACAAAAAATAGTGTTCAAAAAGCGTGAGAATTTCATTGAAGGTATTATGCAGGGATATTCACAAATCACAGAAAAGATAAAAAAAAGCAGCATCTCAACATTCATGTCACAGCAAAGCTGATGCCATGTCTTTTACAGGAAGTGAGTGACCAGTCAGGAGAAATACTATGTTTGAGGATCTACTTGCTTTCATTATTGCTGGAGAAAAGCACCACACACAAGTGCAAATCTACTGACTTCCTTTATTTTAAGGAAACCTTAGGCCAGGTGAACAGATTTTTAGAGGGTACTTTATAACACTAACATGAAGACTTTTGCCCTGGAAGGAATGAACAAGGTGTTCATGAGTGACCTGGGACTGGACAGACCCTTAGGAGAAAAAGATACGGCACAAAACGGCACAATGAAATCCACAACATCAGCACAGCAAAGCATTCATCTTCATTCATCATTATGAGCATGAGGCTTGTTCCTAGAAGTTATTCCTAACATTACCTGGGACCAAAAATATCTAGAATATTCCTTCTCTACTGGGATCCTTTTCCCACCAAGTGCTTGGTTTTATTCCAGTGACTTATTTTGCTCCAACAAGGTATGCCAGCAGTAATATTAACTGCCTTTCTATTTTTTAGAGCGATCTTGTTTAGATAAGTGATACCTCAGCAAGATGACAAAAACTAAACTGATTGATTTTTAAAGAAAGATAATTTCATAGGCTGTTTGGAGTCTTTCTGAAATGAGGGTGGTTTTTTCTCATTTGTTATTTTATTTGTAAGTATTTATTAGGATTTTAACCACAAGTAATACCACTTGGAGACACTGACAAGTCCCTTATTGCCAATGTTATTGCAGCCCTATAAATGGAAGGCTGGTGATTACCAGAAAGTTGCAAGGAGATTTGCTTTCACCATTTTTGAGATACAGATTTTTCCAGGAAGGGAAACAGCCAAACACTTGCTCTCACCAACTTTTTTAACAAGCACCAGGATGACTCAGGAGTAAGAAATTCATAATTTCCTATCTCCGTACTTGCCAGTTTTTGCAATTAGCCTTCTGTTTATTGAAAAAATGTGTCTTTGAGAGACCTTAGACATACTGGGCTACCAGCCTGCACCAAAAGAATGCAAAATATTCCAGCTGAGATTCTCCCCATCAAATTTGATGATTGCTTTACTGATTTTCCCTCCATTTTTAAGTCGCTGTGTATTGCAGCGGTTCAAGTAGGGTTTAGGGGTTGTGTGCATGAATATGTACAATATTCTGTATTGAAAGAGGAATGTTGCCTGAAAATTCAAAGAGCTCACACAATTAAAAAAGCAATGTGATTTTGTTTGCATTTTCCAAAGTCAGTGGTAAACCAGCAAAGCAGCAAATTATATCAACATGAACTGAAACAGAGGTTGCAGGTCTAGACAGAAAAGAGCAAGAAAAGGACTGGTTCTACACTGCCTGGCAGCTTCTTCCTATAGCTTAGAATGACTGTGTGGTATGAGTGTAAGCCTCTGTAAACAAAAACTTCAGTGTGATGCTGAAAAAGCACTGGATTCAAAATTTGGGATAACCATCTGAGTAGGTCAAAACCTAGCTCCTAATGATCCACTACCAGAGGAAGGTGAGAGAAGGTGGAACCCACTGTGTATATTGCAGAAGCAGTGGTCTGTGGGGCTGAACTCATTGCTTCTCTGAAGGCAACTGTGTTACTAACATAGTCCTGATTTTCATTCCAAAAATCTATTTTCCAAAAAAATGTTTATAATGCTGTTTCTATAAGTGACAAACATTACCTTGCATACTAACAAAACCTGGAAATAGTATTGCAATTTCTACCAAAAAAACTTAACGGACTTTACAATGTAAACATACTACGAAAGAGCAGTTCTGTGCGATTTTTTCACTGATATATACACAACCCATACACCTTTTTTGAAATTATTTTCATTCTTCTATCAAACCAGAAAATCCATTCTGACTGAAAACATCCTGTTAAAATTGCAACAGTAAAACTGAACTTATTCCAGAACTCACATTCACAAGAGTTAACAATTATACTGGCTACAGGTGTATGTGTGAAATTTAGGAATTTCAGTAATAAAGCATGAAATTTCTAGAACTGATATACATATTATTCTTAAAAAATATTTTTAAACAAAAAAATACATATATATGTTAAACACTGAAAAATCAATTGCAGAGTAAAGATTTTCTGTGTGTTTGACAAACTATTAAAAATATACTCCGGGAAACTGATGGCAAAATCCATTTCTAAATACATTTCACTACAAGGCAATTTTTTATGTTTGTCCCTAGACAATAGACACTATTTGTCTATCATGGAAGCATACCCACTATTTTAATCTAATATTATTTCTCGAGATAAAGAAGCACATAAGTAAATTGAAATAAACTTTCTTATCAAATACTTCTATTATTTCTGGTTAAATGACAATATAAAAATTTGACCTACCATTTGGAAAATTCAGAAAGCAGAGAAGTGGCTTGTTCTCTGTGGATGGGTCTTTTGCAGAGATTTCTCTTCTTAGCTTGTACCAGATATTACTGTGAGCTCTTTTTATGTGGCTTGGGCAGTTCATATCTCTAGCAGCAAGATACACAAATGCATTCTGAGACACCTCCCACTGAACAGAGCAGAACATGCAAATTACTGTAGCAATTTACTTTAAGTACCTACAAGATATAGCATCTCATTATTCCAGCTAATCAGGCATCTTTTACCACTAGCTTAGATTTTTCTTTATTGCAAATTATTCCTTTTTAGCACAATTATAGTGCAGTAAGCCTGCTGGCTGGGGAGCACAGAGAGGGGACACTCAGATTGCAGAAGGCACTTTGAAACAGATTTTGCTTGAAAACAACAGCTTTGCATGGTCTAGTCAAGCAGCAGGTCCCTGAGAACAGCTTGAAAAGTCTCTGGAGAATCGCAAGCAGTTTTTACTGAAGGAAACTGCTTCACTGAAGCTAGGCTGGGAAAAGGTGGTGTTGAAAAACCAGTTCTCTGCACCAACAGCTAAATTAAGTCTCTGAGGGAAAGAAGGTTTTATCCTATGGTCGTTCAAACTTTTGTGTCCCTTCCCTGGGAAAATTGTGAATTCTATTTGTCCCTTCCAGTGTTCCTGGGACTCTACTGCCAGCATGCAACAACTCCACATCAATACACAAAGATGTAGCAATTATATGCCAGTATGCAAAAATCTTACCTGTGTCACACCCAAGGTCTCTCCAGTTTTTGGTATAGCATTTCCTTTGAAATGATCTGGGGTTTGTACTTCCCATATGACAAAAAAAAAAAAAAATGCAAAAGAGCTAAAAAAGAAGTCAACCAACCAGAAGAAATGAAATCTCACAATGTTTTGTTTTTGGTCAAACAGTTCGGACTCCTACCTTCAAATGCTCACAAATTATTCCCTGCTCAAGTTGGTGAGATTTCATCAGAATCAAGGTCATCCTCATTTCCTGATGTGAGAGACTTTGGTGAAAATTCTGGAGTAACCATCTGCATTCGGTGGTGGGGTCAATATTCTATAACCACAACATGTCAGTTTCATCTAGGGAAAGGTTAAATATATTCAGGTAAAGCTAACTTCAATTTTCTGGAAACAGAAAAGGTTATTCTGTCATAAAGTCCACTGAAACTTCGATCAGAGGAGCTTATAGTGTTGCTCCATACCTGAGAAGAGCCCTTAATCCTGTAGTCTGCTCCCCATGCCCAGCTTGTTCCTAGATTGTGGTGCAGATGGGAAACTGAGGTCCTGACTAAAAAGGATACTTGCCAGCTGAGCAAAAGCCATTCTGCAGCTTTCAAAAGAAACTAAAATCAATGCCTCATAACTTTGGACCCATCTTTGAAAACAAAATCCTACCAATAAGTTTATGGAAAAAAGAGCTTATAGAAATACCTCAAGAGATTTCTTTGAGGGGTTAATTGGTAGCCAGTATGCATAGCACTACAGCAAGCAAGGGAATCATCTGTTCTCGAAGCAAAGAGATAAGTAATGAGTTTGAACTGAACCAGGGGATACTTAAGAAAGCAGAAAAATATTTTACAATGTAAGGTAGTGAAGCACTGGAAATTTGCTGGGAACCTAGTGGAGCTGCCACTCCAAGGGTTAAAGAACAATTTAGTATCGGTATCAAGATGAGTGCAGCTGACCCCACAGGTCCTTACCAGCACTAGGAGTCAATGATCCAGAGATTCAGCCATCAGTGATTCAATGACTGTTTTGGCACAGCATGAGCATATGAACTTAAACTCAAATGTGTTGGCAAGACTCCTAGGCTGTGAAAAATATGCAAGCTAAAGCCACACAAGACACAAAAAGTGAAAACCCAGATTGAATGAGGTTACTGACATCTTAAGAGTTAGGAGCTCAAGCATGCAAGAGGAAAAATGATGACATTGAAGATAAAGTCCCGAGATAAAAAGCAGAGATAGGGAAACAGAAATTCCGCACCATCAGAGTTCACTTTGCTCCAAGAAGTGCTTAGCGTAGCAGCACATTAGCCCTGCTTGCCTAATACCTAACTCTATTAGCCAAGAAACATTTGCTGGGTGCAATTTTTGCACCCTGCTTGCAGACTGACAGTAGAGAACCTTCAGACACAAGTGACCCTGCCAGGAGAAGTTTCACTATCTACATTTACTGAGGCCAACCCAGGGAACTCTGGTGGAATTGGCAAATGGTGAGATGGCAGGGGAAGCTGTTGTTGGGTGTGCCAGGTCCTGTGTTTTTGGCAACCTGTGCCAGGTCTAATGATTTTTGGCTGGTGGGAATCTAACCTGCTGAGGTTGCAATGTTCTTCCTGTTTTTCCATGTCATGGTGCCCTTCTTGTGGCTAGCAAAGGCATCTCATGCTTTGTGTAAGAGAGAAATAAGAAAGATTTTTCAAGGTTTATAGTATTCTAATAGAGATGGACTTTTTCCAAGGAAAAAGTTTCCCCTGGCCTTTGTCATTGATCATGCAGCCCTGGTACCACCCACATTGTAGGTGATGAAGGGGCTGGTAGCCAAATAGTTCTGGTGGCTCCTTTCACTGAGAAGTTTGAGACAGTTATCCCAAGAAGACACTTTTGGTGGATACATTCCTAACCAGAGTGTATTGGTTTTGGCAAAACTTGGTAGGGTAGAGAGGTGACTTCTGTGAGAAGACACCAGGAGCTGCCCTCATGTTGAAGAGAGGCAGCTCCAGCCAGCTCCAAAAGAGACCCACACTGTCCACAGCTGAGCTCATCTGCAACATCAGTAAGTACTTCATGGGAACATATTTAAGAAAAGGTAAAAACTGCTCCAGAGCAACTGTGAGCGCGGGCTGAACAACCCTGCAGTGAACACGGGGAGGGGAAAAGGTGCTCCAGGTGTTGGAGCAAAGATTCCCTTTCAGACCATGAGGAAAATCATGATGATACTGTGTCCTCCTACAGCCCATGGAGGATATCACACAGGAGAAGGTAGGTGGATGTGACCTGAAGGAAGCTGTAGTCCATGGAGAGTGCATGCTGGAGCAGGTTCCTGGCAGAAAATGAGGCCACAGCGGAGCCCATGTAAGAGCAGGTTTTCTGGAAGATAACACACGTTGGAGCTGCTTGTTCCTGAGGGCTGCAGTCCATGTAAAGATCCACACTAGAGCTGTTTGTGAAGTACTCTAGCCCATGGGAAGACCCACACTGGAGAAGTTTGTGAAGTGTCACCTAAGAGAAGGACACCCCCTTTGCAGTAGGGGAATAGTGTGATAAGGAAGAAGAAATAGAAACAAAGTATTATGAGCTGACTGCAATCCCTCTTTTCCATTCCTCTGTGTCACTTGAGAGGACAAAGTAGGAGACATGGGAGTGAAATTGAGCTTGGGAAGAAGGGAGGGGTTGGGAGAGAATGGGATTCATTTGGGTTTTTTTTCTCACTATCCTACTCTGTTAATAATTGGCAAATTAAAATAATTTCCCCAGGTTGAGTCTGATTTGCCTTTGATGATAATTGGTAAGTCATCCACCTGTCCTTTTCTCAACCCATGGACTTTTCATAGTATTTCCTCCCCCTGTCCTATTGAGAGGCTAATGGAGCAGCTTGGTGGGGCCATGGTGGCCAGGCAAGGTCAACTGGCATGGCAGGCTCCCACACAGCAGTAAGTGAGAACATGCATGTAGATAGCAAAGGATTCATATGAATTTCAGTTTTACAAAGCCATCAGTATTTTTACCCTACTCATCTCGATCCTTCATCCCACCAAGCCAGAAATATTAAGTATCTTATAAGGTTTTCAAATCCACTCTAGTTGCCAGATAGTGTATTAAAGTTCAGAGGATGTAAAATAGAGATGATTATCTTGAAGGAAGCAACTGGGTAAAGTAACCAGAATCATATCTGTGCTTTTTTTATGTGGATGGCAAGTGTTTCCTTTGGCTTGCACATTGATACATTACTTGGAGTGCTATATGATCACCAGCAGTTTATAAAAGATCTAGCGATGATAGTTATGCTTAGATAGTTATAGTCAGGCCAAGGACTGTATTCAAACTAAAACCGTAACATCACTAACAAAGCCTTTGTATATTAAAACCAGTTTCCCTTTAAAAGTGTAAATTTCTCTGCTCCATGCCTTGCCCCAAAAGGAAAGCAGCTGCACTGCCATCCCACAGGATCTGAATACAGCCAGACAGAATGAAAATAACAGCAGCTGTTCTGAATGTCTGAGTGTCACCAGGCCACCAGCAGGATCCCCATGGGAGACCACAAAGCCCACCAGAGAAAGGATCTGTGCAGTACATCTGTTGCTCTTTTGGAAATTAAAACACTTTGCTGAGTCTCCAGAATCTTCCATTCCCACAGGTGGTCCTGTCCTTAGATGCCAGGATGCCTGACAGTACAGAGGTGAGGATGAGTCTGAACAGGCAATTTTCTCTGGGCAAGAAGCCGATCCTAAGTTTATACACAAAAGAAACACAGAAGTAACCATCACTCTTGTGTCCAAATAACTTCAGGACAGAAATAATAAGTGAATCAGTAATGAATAGGAATAAGTCCACAAGTGAAATCCTCCAAATTTTAAGGTAGAGACCTGGTGCAGCATCCTAGACTCATTCCAGACATCCCAGGTCCTTACAGCCAGCACTCCTTTTGGAGTGCATGGGAAGCAGACTTCCTTCCATGCAGCTCCCACTCCATTTTTCATCACTGTGGAAACAATTATTTAGCACATCATTGTTGTTCTTATCTGGCCTCTTCCCTGAGAACAAAGAGGTTTTTTTCAACACAATTTCTTAGGAAGACATATCTATAAATACCTAGCATTCTGGAAAACACAACTTGGATGCGTAAAACACAATTCTTATTAATTTACAAAACTAAAATGAATTTCAGTTCTCTGGAAAGTCACTGAAGCTAATTTGTTGACAAATTATATTGTTTATAAAGACTTCTTACTGAATAGTCTTGTTTGTTCCCTAATGTATACGAATTACTGGAAGTTAATATCTTACTGGTGCAAGAGGATCATGACGTACTGACAGCATACAAAAGCAGAAGTTTAGTTATTAA